AGCGTCTCCTCCCACCCAGTTCTGCCACAGTCACTCATTCCAGCCAGACTGGGCGGCTGAGGGGCCTAATGCCGAGGGAGGTCTGGAAGGAAAGAACGAGGAACCGGGCCTTCTCGGCAGTGGCCCCTTATCTCTGGACAACCTGCCCGTGGAGATCTGCCTTGCTACCTCTCTGGGTTATCGGGCAGAAAAGTCAAGACCTGGCTATTTGGGCAGGCTTTCTTTCCCTCCTGCCATATCTTAAATTCACATTTTGCCATCTTGGATTTATAGTATATATTTATTGGGTTTTTTTTTTTTTACTGTTTTTAAATTTGTAATGCTGCCCAGAGTAGACCTTTGGTCCAGATGGGCGAGGTAGAAGCCCAATTAAACAAACAAACAAACAAACAAACAATGTCCCTGTGTGATTGCAGCATTAGGAAACATCTCTGAAACAGGCTGGATGGGCAATGACTTTATTTTATGCACTGTAACGTTTGAGGAAGATTGATCCAAAGCACACTGAAACTACCAAATGAAAATGAATCAAAGTTCTGAATGAAATCTAGTAGTGATTATAGTACAATCCCCAATTAATCCACTAGACACAGATGGTGTTTTTGTCACTAATCATCATTCCTAACCTACTTAACCAGAAAGCAGAATAAATCTTGCCTTTTAAACTTATAGATTTCAGCATTCAATACAAAGACAAGAACTGAACAGTTCTTCATAAATTCATGGTAAATAGATGATTCAGAAAGCCTTTTAAAATTTGTCCTTAACACTGAGCCTTATTAAACATTGTATGAAACCAAATCCTGATATCTTTCTAGAAAACTCACTTTATCAGAGAACCATTTGGACAGATGAAGTACTATGAGACTATGCTTAGTATTTTCCCCGGCTAACTATTTCTCATGCTTCAAAACATGAAACAAACCTTTTCTTCCTGTAGATCCCAAAACCAAATATATATTTAGGAATCATCATGTACATAGATGCATTTCTTTCATTAGCTCTTTGCCAGTCTTGGACAGTCAATCACATATTACATAGGGCACATCAAGGAGCCATCCAGAGTAGAAGTGAACTCTTCTGGCGACCTCTCCCATAGTTCTACAGAAATTCCTGAAATGTAGAAAAGTAATGACCAAGAGATTTGAAATACTTGTCTATTTATACCCTCCCAGAAGTACAAGCTGTATTTCGAAGGGGCAGAGGAACTAGAGACCAAATTGCTAACATGCGCTGGATTATGGAGAAAGCCAGAGAGTTCCAGAAAAACATCTACTTCTGCTTCATTGACTACGCAAAAGCCTTTGACTGTGTGGACCACAGCAAACTATGGCAAGTCTTTAAAGAAATGGGAGTGCCTGACCACCTTATCTATCTCCTGAGAAATCTATATGTGGGACAGGAAGCAACAGTCAGAACTGGCTATGGAAACACTGATTGGTTCAAAATTGGGAAAGGAGTACAACAAGGCTGTATATTGGCCCCCGGCTTATTTAACTTATATGTAGAATACATCATGTGAAAGGCAGGACTGGATGAATCCCAAACCGGAATTAAGGTTGCTGGAAGAAATATCAACAAGTTCCGATGCAGATGATACCACACTGATGGCAGAAAGTGAGGAGGAATTAAAGAATCTCTTAATGAGGTTGAAAGAGGAGAGTGCAAAAAAATGGTGTGAAGCTCAACATCAAAAAAACTAAGATCATGGCCACTGGACCCATCACCTCCTTGCAACAGAAGGGGCAGTGACAGATTTTACTTTCTTGGGCTCCATGATCACTGCAGATGGTGACAGCAGCCATAAAATTAAAAGATGACTGTTTCGTTGGAGAAAAGCGATGACAAACCTAGACAGCATCTTAAAAAGCACAGATATCACCTTGCCGACAAAGGTCTGTATAGTCAAAGCTATGGTTTTTGAATTGTGGTACTGGAGGAGGACTGCCCGGAGACCAAACCTATCAATTCTAAAGGAAATCAACCCTGAGTGCTCACTGAAAGGACAGATCCTGAAGCTGATGCTCCAATACTTTGTCCATCTCGTGAGAAGAGAATCTCCCTGGAAAAGACCCTGATATTGGGAAAGTGTGAGGGCAAGAGGAAAAGGGAAGGACAGAGGGCGAGATGGACGGACAGTGTCATCGAAGCGACCAACATGAATTTGACCCAACTCCGAGAGGCAGTGGAAGACAGGAGGGCCTGACAGGCTCTGGTCCATGGGGTCACGAAGAGTTGGACATGACTTAACAACTAAACAACAAAATTTATACCCTGGAAATAAAACAGGCGGTGGCGGCAGGCAGGAGTTGTTCATCTGTTGCCCACTACTTTTCTATTGTCCAGAAATTCCTGCACACCTATGGGATGGGTAGCCAGAAAGATTCACTCTACTCTTCATGCCCCCTTGATGTAGCCTGTGTAACTTTATGACTGGCAAAAAAAATGACCAAATAAATGCACATGCATTAACAGAACACATTAGGAAGCTAGGTTTGAAAATATATGAAATTATCCATGCAACTTCCATAGCAGCCTTCCATGGCTCGGAAGGACCAGCAGAAAACTCCACGGCAATGAAAGGACAATTTCTGTATATCTCTAGTTCAAGCCATAAAATAATGTGACTGCTGAATGGATCACATGGTATGTTGGAAGAGAGTTTCATTATCTGGCCAAAATGATTTTCATAGGCCACTATTCTACTGCTAGACTGAACTAAGAGCAGACACATTAAATCAACTGTTGACTCAACACCTATGCAAATTCCACTGAGTTAATGGTTTATCTAGGGCTATGATAAGATATTGGCCCTAATTATTATTTTTTTCAGACAAATGTATCTGTTTCACTAGTTGCAAACTGACAAAAAATTTATGTCAATAGGAAATTAATTTTATTATAAATAGGGAGGGTGGAAGCGGAAGTGGAAGTTGTACAGAAAGGAAGACACTGCTTACTATTATAGATTGCTAACACCTTTAACACGAAGTTGGAAATAGCTACGTATACAGGAAAAGAAACTGAGCACTTCTAATCATATGTTGTTGGAAGATGGACTTGATGTGCACACTTGGCTAAAAAAAGAAAAGGACAATAAAATAAAATAAAATAAATCCAGAGGGTAATAATTTCCTCCACCACAACAGAGAAGGCACCAAACAAGGCTTGTGTTATTGTTGGAAATGAACCTCACACAACGCTTAACTTTTCAGTGACCTTACCCTGTGAACATCTTTTCAATTTGTTGAGTACTAAAAATAACACAATTGTAGCTGCAAAGGATTACCCATGTTAAGCGGGGCAGTCGAGAAGCATTCTTTAATGCTTCCCACTTGGTCCCACATGGAGCTGCATGATTTGGGGGAAAGCACCTGGTTAGCAAGCTTCCTTATGAAGGCAATGCTTATAAAAATGGTACGTCAGCTCCTCCAAAGAACAAGCCAAAGAATTAAAAGAAAAAAGAAAACCAGGATTCTGAGCTGAAGACAACTATAAAAGCTACAACAGGAAGCAATAATGTCAATGCTAAGATTTTCTCTCTTATAACAAGGCCAAGAAATGCAAGTAGGAGCTGATGTCAGTCATTACAAAAAGAAGCGTTTGACTATTCCACGACTGGGGAAAAATGTATCTGCAGGAATGAATATAATGAGGCTACATGTCAAACCTTCTTCATTGCTGTAGATATGAAGAGCAAAATATTCAAGATAACACTTATGCCCAGGTCAAACAATGAATAAAGATACAGTGGTGCCTCGCATAGCGAGGTTAATCCGTTCCGGATTAACCTTCGCTATAGCGAAACATCGCTAAACGGAATGACTATTCCACGACTGGGGAAAAATGTATCTGCAGGAATGAATATAATGAGGCTACATGTCAAACCTTCTTCATTGCTGTAGATATGAAGAGCAAAATATTCAAGATAACACTTATGCCCAAGTTAAACAATGAATAAAGATATCTTTAGCAGGGTCAGGTTTCATTTTTCAAACCATTTACCAAAATTTACAAATTTCTCCTATTTAAGACGGGGAGAACAGATACTTGAAACATCAACGTGGGCAAAATCAGAATTGACAGCCCCATCTATCCTCCATCCTCTTATCTGGTACAATTACAATTATCAGGCATATTCAGCATCAGCGGCACATGCCACTCACTCTACAACGGCAGGATCAGGAAATCTGTGAAACAACAAAGGTTATTTTTTTCCTCAGAGAAAGAGGGGTTCCTATTTTTGAGTGACACAATTTCTCTGCCATCTTTTTCTTTCTTTCTTTCTCTTCTGCCCCCCCAAGATAATGAAAGGCTAATGAATGAATAAATAAATAAATAAATAAAAATAAATAGAGGTTTTTCTACACAGTAAAATCCTGTCAGCACAGCTAATCCCTAGGGAAATCAAAAGTATAAGCCCCAGAACAGCAAACAAGTGCATGGTCAAAACCATGTAATCAAGATGAAGGCCTCTTCATACTGAGATTACACACCCCATTGCCTCCAATCACAACTGAGGATGACAGGAGCACAAGAGGAGAACCATCTGATTTTGCAAGAGTTGACAAAGCTTGGTGAACAACGATCCAGCAGGAATCAAGAACTACATCGGGTTTGAAAAGTCAGCTTTGTTTTTCCTGCCCTGGATTTGAGGTTGATTAAATAATTGAAAGGGCCAGGCTGTTAGGTCATGATTTCTATGTTACAGCTGTCCAGATCACATTGACAGACACTCTGCAAGGCCTGCTGGTTGGAGAAGAGAGACAGAGAATATATCTGTAGCTAGCAGAGGACCCGTTGATGAAACGTGAAAAGGGGCATGATCAAATGGGAAAAACAGTTAGCATTGCGAAAGCGTCAGTTGGTGGCAGTGCTCTGTGATTAAATGTGTTGTATATGCAGCAGTGAGTCCTAACTGGACAGGAACTTTTCTACTCTTTTCCTTTGCATAAAAGTTGACCTGCGTCACCGGCAAACTGGACAAGTGGGCCACAACCATGAAAGGTAAGATTTATTCGATTTCTACTTATTGCAAATGGATACCATGTGACAAGGAGACAGGCTTAAACTCTCAGCAAGTCTAGAACCCATAACATTTCTTCCTGTGACCTTTTCTGTTTTCCTTGAAACACACTGTTGCATACTAGGCATACTGATATGAGAAAGCACCACCTAGCTTTCTCATGTCAATACAAATGGAGTTACAAAATATTGGTGGTTCCAAATATTTTCCAAATGAAGCTTTAGATATTACATGCAGGAAAACATGAAGATTTAGAATATTAAGTGCTTCAGGTGAAGGCTGGCATGTTCACTTGTGAGTTTAAAACAGCTTAAATATCTGCCATTGTCATTAAAGTACTGCTTTCAGCGACCCTTCAGTCAAGCTGAAATACAACCCTATGCATTTTTATTAGGAAGCAAGTCTCTCTACTTTCATAGGACTTATCCCCAAATTGGCCTGGATCTCATTTATGTTTTTGTAGGCCTGGGTGGGTAGTTATGTTTTTAACTGCTGTTAGCTACCCAGAATAGTGCTTAGGCACTAGATGGGCAGGGCATAAACATAATGAATAAAATAAAATAAAAAATAAAAAAGGGTACCAGGCTAAAGCCTTTAAAGACTTCTCTGTAGTAATATGGATATTTCTGATTAGACTCTTGGAACATTTATGAAAAGACAAGAAAAAATCTTGATAAATGTGCAATATGCAAAAAAGTGTTACTATGATGCTCAGTCATGAGTGTGTAGCACAGGATTTTGTTCTTTCCAGAGTGCATACATGAAACACAATAATACAGGTAAAGACAGAAAGATCAATTACGTATCATATATGGGATCATTTTAGGGAATCGTTTTGCCAACCATTAAATTTTTTTTTTCAAAGAAGGCAGGACCACTCTAGGCAGCTTACAACAGACATATAACAATATAATTAAAACAATTTTAAATAAGGGGAAAAACGTTAGACAAGATGGGGCAAACACTAGGAGAGAAGAAAAAGGGAAGATCAGGAATTAGCTGAGAGGAAGGCCTGCTGAAACATCAGTGTTTTTAATTGATTTTTGAAAATACCCAGCGAGGGAACTGTATACAAGAAGAGTAGCAGCAGAATACTAAACCAGGTTACTCAGAAGCCCCGATGTTAAAACACAGGTTTAGCATGTAAAGGCATGTAAGCTAAGTGTACCATAATTTGAAGCACTATGATTAGTTTGAACAGGAGATATCTGAAAGCAATCATGAGTTTGTTGTTTATGAGGTTTGATTCAAAGGTGCTCCAGAGAACGGCTCCATCCACAGGATTCAGTTCTCTAAAATATTTGTATCTCAATCTCATGAAGGTATCCCGTATCCTAACTCACAATTCAAAAGGAATTTAAGGAAGTAAACAAGGATGCTTTTGAAGGCAGGAAAGCCTCTAAGATATTAAAAATTCACTAGATTAGTGTGGCAGATTAATCCTGTAGATCATATGATGAAAGCTAAGAAGCCTAGTAAGAAGTATTGAAGAATACAGGACCACTCATGGGCTTAAAGTTAATCACTAGCTTAAATGCTTTTGCATAAGCATGCTTCATGCACTTGACATCTTTCAGGAATAGCCAGTGCTAGGGAAAGCTCACCATTGAATGAGTGCCATGAATTAAAAATTCTTAACTAACAGCTAGAACTGTAGTTTCATAAGGAGGTTGGTTGTTCTTATTGATAATCTGGGAATATTCAGGTGGATATTTTCTACTCTTTTACATGTTGTTAATATAAAAATCAGACATTTTGATTAATGATGGCTATCTAAATTTCATAATATATATCTGTAGTACTGATTGATGGAAAGGACTTATGCTTAGTTGAGCTACTACTAATGGGAAGTAGCTCTACTTTCAATAATCCTTAATAACCATCACATAATGCTTCTAAAATGATGGCAACAATTCAGTGCTCTGTTCAACAGGCCGTTATTTAATTATTAATCCATTGCTTAAATTGGACAATAATTGTTCCTTCTCAAACACTCAGCTGACAGACAACCTGTCTCAAACAATTACTTAATAGCAATAACAGGCCATCCATGGATACAGACACAAAGACCAGATACTGAGATACCAAATCTGTCCCATACTTACTCTGAAAACAGCAGACCAGACTGTGTTCTCCACAACATTATTCAATCTAAAATACTCTGCACCTCGATCTGCAGTGCCCTTCTGCAAAGAGCAAACAGGCCAAACTTTATACAGAAGAATAAATGCACACAAATGTGATAGTAAAAAGCAGTGGGTGAACACCTCAGCATCACAGTACCATGCTCTGCTTAAAGCCACAAGATTTTTCCCCTCCAAGTGACAGTGAAGATAGAAATGTTATTTTTAACTCCTCAACAGCGATATGTGCAAAATTATAGTTGTAGTTTTAGAAAAGGTAGCCATGCTGGTATGTGCTAGTAGATGAGGGAAAAACAAAAGGAATTCTTTCTAGTCTGAGGAAGTGGACTTGTCCACAAAAGCTCTTATTAAAATATAGCCATAAATCTTTAAGGTGCCACAATGTTTTCGCCTTCTTTATTTTTCATTTTTTTCTTGTTTTGGCCTTTGGAAAACTAGTACTCTTTTAAGAAACAATGCATACACATAGCAAATACGGAATGAATCAGTTCTTTAAAAAGATGCCAAGCAGCCCCTTGAATGCATCTAATCCTTTATCATCTTGCACAATTGCATTACTGCATCATTTGCACAACTTTTTTTCACACATGTATATACACACACACCATTCTTATCCTCACTCTCTTGTTGAGAAATCCCTTGCCTTCTCATGGGGAAAGGGAAATAATTTTGAAGCTTCCTATCTTTACATGCAATGGCAAAATCAGAGAAAGTATGTATCCCTAGCTATAATCCATCAAAATATCTGCTATAATAAATCTGTTTGCCTTTGAAGTGCCACAATTCTTTAATATTATTTGAGTCAATATGCTAATTAAATGTTGTTAAAGAAACTAAATGCAATACTATTTTTCCCCTTATTTTACAGGTTCATTGCTTTTAATTTCAACTGTCATGATAATAATAGACTTAGTGAGCAGCTGTCCTCTAAAATGTCTGTGCTATCGGTTTTCAAAGACAGTGGACTGCAGAAATCGAGGACTTACTGAAGTTCCTTCTCATTTACCAGCTGATACTCAGATACTACTTTTGTCAAATAATCACATTCAGAAAATCAGTCAACATGCATTTACTGACACTCTTTCCCTCAAAATTTTGGACTTATCTAATAATTCAGTCTCAGGCCTGTTGCCTAACACATTCAAGGAACTACAAAATCTTCAGATTCTAAATCTAACAAAGAACTTTATTGAATATGTAGACAACAAGACGTTTAGCTCCCTTCCACACCTAAAAGAGTTGGACATATCATCCAACAGTATATTAAGTTTGCCTGAAACTCTAGGAAATAACACAAGACGCATAACTTTATTGTCTCTGAAACATAATAAACTTGAGAAAGTCGACAGACTTCTTTTGGATTCACTCCCAAATCTTAAAGTGGTGCTTTTCAAGGGTAACTTTTGGCAATGCAATTGTCAAGTCTTTGGCCTTAAATTATGGCTGGAAAGTTTTCTGTACAGAGGTAAGTAATTTTTCTTTATTACGCATATACTGTGGCCTAAATCCAATCTGGCGTTAGACATGTTTAAATCCATTGAAGTCATCCGGCTTAAGCATGCCTCACTCTGTATGGAATAGGAGCCTGTATGTCCAGCAAATGTCACATCTCATCACATGTATTTATTTCCAGTGGGATAGAAGTGGGTTACTCTGTTCCAGCAAGAAAAGAAAATACCCTTAAAGACAAACATATTGCATTTGGCATAAACTTTCATGGACAAAGTGGGCTAAGGTCCATGTCAGCTTTTGCCAATTGAAATTCATCAGTCTTTAAGGTATCACAAAACTTTGTGTTGAATTAATTGACTGGAGGGAGGGGCTACGGAAGATTTCCTGATGGTGTCTTTAGCATTATTTATTTACTGACAATTTTTATACATCACCAAGTTGCCAAGATGATTGGGGCAATTTCCATGTAAAAATTAAAGCTATAAAGTACAAAAATGCAACATGAAAATAATACCTAAAACAACACAAAGTCATCATGAGCCAAATAAAATTCTGAGACTGCATTTGGGGGACCATTTAGAGGTTTCTTGGCCATATTTGTATTTTCCAAGTAAAAAAAAAACCCTAACTAAATTATTAATGTCAGAAAAAAGCAACAAGTATATATTTTTTAAAAAAGCTAACAACAGGTGGAAAATTCCTTTTCAACCAAGCAAACCTCCTAAAAAGGATGTTTCTCTGTTAACTATTCTTTAGTCCTCCTCGGGCACAGGAACTCAAAGAAGGGCCTTAGGTTATGACAGCAGGGTCCAGGTATGTGCATGTGTGAAGGGGGGTTCTTTAGGTACCTGGCCACAAGTGACATCCATATGTTGTGGATAAAAAAGAAGCGTATACGCCCTATAACATACATGAGATGACTAGAGCTACAAGTTTTGAGCATTATATCCTGGAATCCATGTATGTATCAGTTGTACATGTCAGTGTATGAACAGAACCACTACAACAAAATACCTCCAACACCCAAGCTAGAAAGATATCCAGCAACAATACTATGGATAATAGTATCAAACATTGCTTGTCATCATGGCCAATAGTCATTAACAGTCCTATTCTCCATTAGTTTGTTTTGCTTTCAACCCCCCTGTGGTAATCATGGGAGAAAATAACATAATTATGCATTAACTGCTTTCTTTTCTATGCCCTCGATTTCTTACCAGTGAGCTATACTATGTGACCACAGGTATTAATCTTCTGAGGGATAAAATCTGTTCACCCCCTTTAAATGAATAAGTATTCTCATAGATAAGGACACAGCACATGGATGGGAAAGAACCAGAGGCATCACAAACATTTTTCTAAAATTCAGCAAGATTTGAACTATGAGTTAAGATGTGTCGACCATGGAACACTTTGCCAGAGAGCTAAACCCCAAATGTGTTTCTCCAGAAGTAAACTGAACTAGCGTGTTTAGCATGATGTCGGAAGCTGCAGTTTCACACACATTTAGTAGGAAGACAGCCCATTGACCACAATTATATTACTTCTGTGAGCATGGATTCAATGAGCTGGAAGAATTAAGCACACAGTGTAGTTGATCCATATTGTGCTTGGTTTCCAAGGGGACAGAGTGTGTGCTAGGAATCTGGGATGAATGAATTTTTAGTCCAAGGTTGACAGGCATGTCTCAGTCCACATTTCCAAGGGATATGAGTCTTACTGACCCTTGCTCTTGATGACAAACTGAGAAACACACACATACATTTTTCTCCTTGCAGTGAAAATTCCCTACACAAGTGTTTCTTTCATATTTTTTTAAAGAAATCCGCTGTGATTTCTTTGAAAGTTCATGGACTTTTTAAAAATTACATTTGCTGTCCAAAATGGTATCTTTCCTGCATGAGAAGGTGAACTAAGCTGTGTAGAATTTGACCATTTCTTGTGTAAAAGAACAAATGAAATGGGGATGGAGCGACAAGACCAAGGGCTTGTTTTCGGAGCAAGACAAAAAATCTCACTAGCATAGGAAGAAATCCCAGTAAAAAAAAAATCTAGGGATTCACCTAGACAGAGAGATTCTTTGAATATTTTTTTACATCCCTGGTTAATACTGATCACATATCAGGCAGGTTTTGGCTCCAGAATCATCATGATGATGGACAGTTACACATATGCCCCACAAAACAGGCAAGTTTGAAAAATGCCTATAGGATAATGTGCACATTTTGAACCCAACTGAGGAAAAAAAATAAGCAAAGAAAGGAATAGATTTTTCTGTGTTAAAAAAACAACCCCAAAACCAGATCTGTTCATCCTGATAGAGAGACCAGCATCGTTGACTACAGTTGATATTAGGACTGTAGTTCAGTGGGAGCCCACTTTTCAAGCAGATGATCCCACATTCAATCGCTGGCATTGCCAGGGCTAGGAAAGATTCCCACTTGGAATTCTGGAAAGCAGCTTCAGATGATACTGAGCTACATGAACCAATTATCTGATTCAGGATAAGGCAGTTTATGATTATGATTTAGCCAAAGTGGAAGGGAGAATAAACAGGGGGTGAGGGTTGAAGATATCATGCACCCCCTCCCTTCCTTAATTAAAGTTCCAGATAAAATACTCTTCTAAGGAGGCCATCATCTTGATTTTGGAATTGTTAAAAAAATGTCATTTATTTCCAGCCAGAATTCCTATTATATACTGCTGGAACTATGTTTCAGAACAAGAGTCTCCATGGATTCCAAGCTTTGTGAGCACAGGAACATAATGAATAATCAGATGTATCTTAATTTAGTAATGGCTTGGGACTGGAACAGGGGGTTCCTCCCCAGATGTTTGGAGCAAGATCCCCACCTCCCTGCTGAGTCTATGAGTGACTCATATCGTCACTAACACAGCTTCTTATTTTTAAAACAGCTTCAACATTTTATCTTGGTGGGACACTACTTGACAATTTAATTATTGTGTTTCCTCTCTCCATCTCTGTACTTTTGTAATCTGCACAGAACTGAAACTGAAAGGAAATCTGATTGTTTTCCATTATACAAATGTACATGTGTATTTTATCACATTTTTCTAGCTTTGTTCTTTTGTGACTTACACAAAACAAGCTGACCTATCCTCTCTCTTTATTGTATCCAATCTTCTCCCAGATCCACTAACACACCCATATCATACCTTGTGGATAACTTGTGCACCTTCAGATGTTGCTGAATTCAAAGTGCTATAAGGCACTGTCAGCACAGCCAGTGATGTGGGAATTACCTGGAGGGTGGTCAGTTGCCCACCACTTGTATATACTGAGGATGGTTAAATACCTTAATCCCAAAGAAATCACATTTGAACTGGCATGGAAATAGGCTGTTGATGATCTCCAATGTCAGGATCAAATGACTCCAAAACCCAGCCCCAGCTAGAGCACTAGTTTAGCATTTTATGCCAGCTGTAGTTTCTGAACCTATTTAGATTATTCTTAACAAATAGATGTTGTGATTCTACAAAGTAACACTGCATCCACCGATATGAACAAAAAACAACAACTGAAAACAAATGAAACTAGTTTTGAATGTTTTGTGAACATATATTTAAATATACCAAACCCATATGGAGTTCAGGCAGCAGTAATTTTTTAAATGGCAGATTCCAAACTAACCACAGAGTGTGGTTTAGACTGAATTTCATGTTGATATTTATGCATTCAGCCAAGCAGATCCCCAGCCCAAATTGTAGTATGAAAATCATTTGGCAGAACTATGTTAAAAATTTCAACACAGACTGAAAAATCATAATGCTCATATTCTGATTATTATCATAACAGCTGGAGAATGTACCATTGCTTTAAGACCATTTTAATCTATACTTTCAGAACAGTGTTTTAAGGAATTTGAATCAAAGCATTTCCAAATTCCAAAATAAATTCATTTCTAACCAAACCCATAAGTTGGCAGTTGTAACAGTTGCAGTGGAAACTGGTCACTGTAATCATTTACTGGACCAAATAATCCTATTGATGCTTTCAAAGACATTTTCCCCAAAATACAGTGCATTACAGCCTGATTCTGCACTGAAAGAAGTAGTTTTAACTACCTTCAACAAGACAGGGACAGTTATATAATGAAATCACCTCTATTCAGAATAAGGTCTCATTAAGATCCATGCGGTTTATTCCCTTGAGTGTGTTGGACTTCAAGTCATAGGCTGCAATCCTGGGCCTTTGCTGTTAAGGTTTGCATAATTAGGCAGCTAATTCTGACTAATTTGTCAAGAAGCTGAGCCACAGTTTAGAGACTGAAACAATGAAAATATGAACACAGCTAAACAGGCTTCTACAAGGACCTTATCCCCTGCCTGAAGCATTCTAATTTATATATTTTTCCCAATTCCGAATACAATGCTGTTATTTATGATGCTTTAAAAAAAAGCCTACTTCATCCCACTGATAAGACTTCATCAAAAAGCATCTGGTTGTTCTGTGTTTCCTTTTTTTTATTGTTTCAACCCTGCTAAGATTAAATGGTTACACATTAAGAATGATGTTCTGTCATCCAAAATTTATCACGGGATTTGCAATCCATCAATGATCTATGTTTCTGTATTTTCCTATGTCTGTACAATCTGCATACTTCATATTAAATTTGTATTTTATATTCTGGGCCAACTAACCACTTTGCTGCTTGAGTCAACAGAGAAATGATATCTTGCTCAGTTCTATGTACAGAAGCTAATGGGGCTGGCAGCAGAATCTTACTTCAGCACTGATGACTAAATGATGTCCTGCACTATGCTTGATTTAGGGGATGCAGGAACAGAGAACCACCAGGAGTCTCAAGAGAAACAATGGTGAGGCTTCCACTGCTGTCGCTAGCCTACAATAACTGATGCAGTTCTTTTCATACCTCAAATGGAAGTGATATTTATAAATTAAAAAATGAGAGAAAGATTTCCCATAGTATCAGAATCAGATGATTCTCTCCCCAAAAGATGGTTCTTGATGGCTTTTACATTCTCAGGAGAAAGAAACTAGAACCGTAAAATCAATGCAAAAATACAGTACTACTCTCTCCGTTACCTGTTATGTGGAAGTTCATAAAGTCCAGAGTAACAGTTCTCTTTCTGGTCATTGACCATAATAAATTATTATTGTTGTTACAGTTCTCTTTCGTCTTCCACACAACTTGAGCTAGCCCTACCATTAGTGAGACAGCTGCCTCAGGCAACAGGTTCCAGAAAGGCAGAAAACGGCTAGTGATCTGAATGGTTAGAGTTGTATTTTAATTGCTTGGAAGAGGGTTGAATATCTGAGGTACTGAAATAATTTGACTGCCCTTAGGTGCTAATACCATAACCTAGGGAGAGGAGAGGCATTTGCTGCTTCCCTATACTCAGGAGGCACTTCAGGCCCACAACTACATTTCATCTGTCCATTCGCAGTTTTCTTTCCTTATTCATCCACCCTGTCTTCTGAATGCCTACCTCGTAAACCACATGTAGCCAACCTGTGGCCATTCAAATGAGGTTTTGGTCAAAGCTACATCATTCTAGACCAATTTTCCCAAAGCCAGGTGTTCTAGATTTCAGCTCCCAGAAAGCCTGGCCAGCATGGCTGGTAATGAAGGTTTCTGGGAATTGCAGTCCAGATTCTTCTGACCTGAAACCCAGTGTGAGATCTTTGCAACATACAGCCAAACCTTCTCCTTCTTGCGAGAAACTGCAACTTGCGATGGCACAAAACTATCATTTAGGTCCGCCATCTCTCCAGCACTGATGGAAAACATCTGATCATTCTCACACTGGATCTGATTTCCTTGCTTTCTGCTCTGCTCAGCATCAATTTAACCATCATTTCCTAAACACTGTTGCTGCATGCTTTCCCATCTTGCTTCAATCACATGAAGATCAGGTTGCGTGTACATTCTGGCCATGTTGCAATTTAGTGTATACACACACACACATGTAGTCTAGTTATGTGAAATAGAACAGACTTTGTTAGGTGGCCAAAGATCCTCTGTACACAACCAAGAGCTCCTGCATGCATGCTGAAATCTGTCCAATATCTTGCTCTGAAGACATCTCATTAGCAGTGGCTATGTTTGAGAAGCGCCACAGAGTTCGGGCATGGTTTTTCAAGGTGTGCCTGCTCAGTTACTGAGGAAAAAGTGGAAGATCCTCAAAGTGAAACTATGGATGATCATTTGGATTCTCCTAATTTGGTTTTATTACAGCAAATGGTTGATGTGACAAATGTTAGAAGTAACCAGTTTCTTGTAATGGTTTCCTTTTTGGTAACTGATAGATAACTAATACATAAATTACAATAGCCAGAATTCTATTTGGATTTTATTCCAGAGTAAATGGAAACTGCAGTGATTTTCAGCTCTTTGACAAAGTGAGGTCACATAACTAGCTTATGATCAGACATGTGACTTGCACCTCATCAAGTAGGTGCAGTTTGCTACCAAAATATATGAAATGTAATATATTCTTGAGTAAAATCCCAATGGGATTCTTGTCATCATGACTGTAATTTAACCAGGGATCTTTGGTTACATTTTTGTCAGTATAACTATAACTTTTGTTTCATTCATTGGTAAATAAATGAATTTGGGCACAGTTGCTGGCTCATGATGTACTTCATGCTACTGCCTTGTGGGCAGAAGAAGAGTCATTTTGCCCACAGGCCAGTAGCTTCTAGCATTCAACTGCTCTCAAATAAAAGTTTTATTTCAGTTATTTTTCAGAAGCATTCTTTCCTATTATTCCTTTGTGGAAGTGTTGATCACATTTTAAGTGATTTCTCATGCTCTGAGTGACAGTGATGTGACTGATGGTATTTGTCACCATTTCTGGCCATATTCTTACATGTTTTAAACATATAGCCTATTTTTAATTAATTACTTACTTTGTTTATTTAAGCTATTTTGATCACTTTTTCTAACCACTCAAAGTAAAATGCAATGAAGAGATTAAAATTATAAAAATGGATTGAAAAGGTTTAGGAACAGATTTAAAACATTATTTAAGAGCAGTTTTTAAAAGCTCTCTATAAGCCAATTTATACTGCATTTATAAATGAAAGGAAAAAAAAATCTATGTTTGAGTACCAAAAACATACTTGCATTAGTTCTTTGCACTATTATAATTGTAAGCACACGATTACAAAATATATTTGCAATTTTTATAAGGGGAAAAGCAGTTTCCTTATTACATTGGTTAGTTGCTGGATTTAGATTTAGACAATTCTGAAGCATGAGGAGTTTAAGACAATTTTTTTTTCTTTTCAGGAGGAATTAGTGATGCTGTAATCTGTGCAACACCTGAAAACCGGAGGGGAAAAGACCTTCTCAAAATTCCTTATGAATTATATCGGATCTGTCCTCTTCCAGCTTCTTATGTTCACCTGGCCAGTGCTCCTCACCATCCTGAGCATAAACCTTCTCTGAAGTACACACACCACCACCATGAACATGGAGGAGACGGTAGCCATTCATATTGTGAACCAAAACCCAAACCACGTCCTGTTAGCTTGCGTCATGCGCTTGCCACTGTCATAATCACTGGAGTGGTCTGTGGGATTGTATGCCTCATGATGCTGGCTGCCGCCATATACGGCTGTGCCTATGCTGCAATTACTGCAAAATACCACCAAGAAAATTCACACCTTGGCAAGCAGAAGGGGAATCTTGAAGAAAAAGAGCCATTTCAGAGTTCATTGGCTTGAGTTACTGGTTATTATGAGCTTTCCAAAACAGATATTATTTTTCTTCCTGGACACAAGAGCAGCACTGGAACAGGACTGATTTACTGACTACTTACTTGTTCTCGTGTTTCAGATTTTTCGCATGCAAGAATTTTACCATCATCCTAGGAAATCTGGAATCTGTGCTGCAAACAGATGTATTCTTTCAGCATGTTTGGATCAAGCAGCATCTTCTTTTTATTTTTATTTTCTAATAGTTGGGGTGCATATCAAAATGTTATTGGCCCCCATCTCCACCGCATGCAAGGATGCTTAACTCCCTAGGCATCGTTTCATAGATAACATCCCTGTTTGTGGCTATTTTGGCTTGGAAGGAAGAAAATTGGCATAGAGGGGCAGGAAGGCACAGCTAGGCTCCATATCTGTTCAGGGGTACTTATCAGTAAAATCACGGCTAGACTCAAAAAGAGTAAATTTCTATTCCCAGTAAAAACTGCCTCTTGCAAGCATTAATAAATAAATAAGTTAATTAAAAACCCACATGGAATAAAGAGGTAGTTGCCACCCACATCTTTAAAGGCACCGGTCATTTGATCTTTAGTCTCAAAGCCTGCCATTAGTCCCCCATAAAAGACTGTCAAAAAGAGGGCTAGCACAGATACCACAGTTTGCAGTATCTGCTAGGTGGTGATTTTCTATGCAGTGGGTGTAGCTTGTAGGTGTGTGTGTGTGTGTGTGTGAGAGAGAGAGAGAGAGAGAGAGAGAGAGAGAGAGAGAGAGAGAGAGAGAGAGAGAGAGAGAGAGAGAGAGAGAGAGAGAGAGAGAGAGAGAGAGAGAGAGAGAGAGAGAGAGAGAGAGAGAGAGAGAGAGAGAGAGAGAGAGAGAGAGAGAGAGAGAGAGAGAGAGAGAGAGAGAGAGAGAGAGAGAGAGAGAGAGAGAGAGAGAGAGAGAGAGAGAGAGAGAGAGAGAGAGAGAGAGAGAGAGAGAGAGAGAGAGAGAGAGAGAGAGAGAGAGAGAGAGAGAGAGAGAGAGAGAGAGAGAGAGAGAGAGAGAGAGAGAGAGAGAGAGAGAGAGAGAGAGAGAGAGAGAGAGAGAGAGAGAGAGAGAGAGAGAGAGAGAGAGAGAGAGAGAGAGAGAGAGAGAGAGAGAGAGAGAGAGAGAGAGAGAGAGAGAGAGAGAGAGAGAGAAAGAGAGAGAGAGTGTGTCTCTGTGGCCGGCTGAAAGTGTGGTTTAAAAATTCTTGAAGCAGATTCATAAGATACAAATTTGGGAGGGTTAGTACTAAAGCGGGTGATATTTCTTTTTTACTAATGTGTTTGGAATTGTAATTTAAATGTATTTTAATTGGTTTAATTTTAACCTGTTTTACTCTATAAATATACTAGTTCTCACTTGAGTAGCACTGTTGTTGGCTTCCCTGAGTACCACTTTTTGACAGAGAGGTGGGATAGAACTATATTAAATCCATATACACTCATGTGAAAAAGAAAACATGGTTTGAATTTTATGGTTTTATGTATCAGGACATAATAAAAATCATCTGGTCCTCAGCAGGTCTGAAAATTAGGTAAATACAACCTGAGATGAACAACAACACATGCCACACTACACTATGCCATGATTTATTTAACAAAAATAAAGCCAAAATGGAGAAGCTATGTGTGACAAACTAAGTACACCACATGATTCAACAGCTTGTAGAACCACCTTTAGCTGTAATAACCTGAAGTAATTGTTTTATGTAGGACTTTATCAGTCTCTCACATTGTGGTGGAAGAATTTGGCCTATTCTTCTTTACATTACTTCAGTTCACTGAGGTTTGCAGGCATTTGTTTATGCACAGCTCTTGTAAGGTCCTGCCACAACATTTCAATCAGGCTGAGGTCTGGAATTTGACTGGGCCATTGCACACCTTGATTCTTTTCTTTTTCATCCATTCCAATGTAGATTTGCTGGTGTGCTTGGGATCATTTTCCTGTTCAGTGACTCAGTTTCAGCCAAGCTATAGCTGTCGACAGATGGCCTCACGTTTGACTCTAGAATACTTTGGTGAACGAAGGAGTTCATGGTAAACTCAATGACTGTAAGGTGCCCAGGTCCTGTGGCTGCAAAACAAGCCCAAATCATCAGCCCACCACCACCGTGCTTGATCGTTGGTATGAGGTGTTTGTGCTGATATGTAGTGTTTGGTTTTTGTCAAATGTGGCACTGTGTATTATGGCCAAACATCTCCACTTTGCTCTCATCTGTCCATAGGACATTGTTCCAGAGTTCTTGTAGTTTGTCCAGATGCAAGCTGCCATGTTCTTTTTAGAGAGAAGAGGCTTTTTTCCTGGCAACTCTTCCAAACAAACCATACTTGTTCAATGTTTTTCTAATTGCACTGTCATGAACTTCAACATTCAACATGTTAACTGAGTCTTGTAAAAATCTGAGATGTAACTCTTGGGTGTTTTTTCTCCTCCCCCCCCCGTCTCCCTGAGTATTGTACGATCTGAACTTGGGGTGAATTTGCTTGGACATCCACTCCTGGTAAGATTGGCAGCTGTCTTGAATGTGAATAATCTTCCTCACTGTAGAATGATGGACTTTACAGTGGTGCCCCGCATAGCGACGATAATCAGTGCAGCCAAAATCGTCGCTATACGGATTCGTCGCTATGCGAAATAAAAAAGCCCATAGGAATGCATTAAAACCCATTTAATGCATTCCTATGGACAAAAAACTCACCTTTATGCGAAAATCCTCCATACAGCCACCATTTTCGCTGCCCGGTAAGCGAGGAATCCGGGCGAAAACACAGTGGGTGGCCATTTTGCCATCTTCTCCGCTCCAGCCCCTCCCCGCCTCACAGCTGATCAGCGTTGATCTTAGAAGCTTCTCCAGGCTTGCCCAGCACGTAAACAGGCAGGTTTGGACAAGGATTGGAGATACAATCCGTACACTGAACTTGAGTCTAAACCGTATGCCACCTCATGGGTACAGTGAAAAAGCAAATTGCCATAAAAAGTCAGTAGCCCTCAGAAATATTTTCAGCATTGCATTATAAAGTGGAAGGAGCCTGGTTTTCTCTGTTTCACATCCCCCCTTCTTAAAATGGGCGTGCACAGGGAAGGAGCACAGAAGGGTTTCAACCTGATCTTGAAATTCTAATTCCTTGGTATTTCTTTCAATGTACATAGGAAAAAGGTACAGTCAGGTCAACAACCCATAAGCATCATGGAAAAACTAAGCATCATACATAGCCATTAAAATTATTTCTGCAGACACCCTTGCTTCTTGTAATGAAAAGCAATACAATCTAAGCAGGCCTGATCATGAATGAATTAGAAATGAAATTTTAGAATTATTTAGAAATATCAATAAGCACGAATATTGGAATTCTAACCCAACAGCCATTATATATCTCACCTTTCAGAAGGCATGTTGCGAAATCTCTCCCAAAGACTCCCAGGCAACCTAGCAACTATTTTGCTTGCAATCTAAAATTTAACATTTTTCCATCCCAGTTAAGTGACACAGATTTCAGAGAACTGAACAGCCAGTTCTAAGTAACTGACATTGTGGTGAAGACACCTGTTGCTCTCACCAGTCACTTTGTCTAACAATAAACTATTTTCTGCTGTAACCTTTTCCATTATGAAAGGGAAGTGTCTGATGACATTCAAACCATATGGTCAGCATGCTATCTTCAGGAAGAGATAACCATAGCATCTGCTAAAATGCAATTAGTGCTTAGTGGTGTTACCTACTTTTTAAAAATGTCTCACATTCACAGAGTATAATATTACTTTCACACTTTCTGAAACATTAGATGTGCATTATATGCAAGCGGTTCTTCATCAGCTGAAACTAACACATATCCTATTTAATTGCACATGGAAGATACTGTTCTTTAGAAATATTTACATATATTTACGACACTATTTTTACTTCAGAAATTCAACAAAGGTTTGAACAATAAACAGAAATAAAAAGTATTTATTCATTTCCAGCATTCTGCTTCCAGCTATTTTAGGATAAAGGGAGCTTGTTCTTCAAAACTGGAAATCGTTTAGAAAGTATCAGGAGCAGCCACAACAATAGAGAAATGGGCCCTATGGCTACTAGAAGAGAGTTGGGGGTGAGGGTTTGGTGAAAGAAAGAAAGAAAGAAAGAAAGAAAGAAAGAAAGATGCACACACATAAAATTCCCCAAACACTCCCCACTCACTAAAAGTCCCCCACTAAAAATACAGACATCTACACCACAGGCCAAGTAACACAGTCCAACTAATTATTCACTACTGGAAAGAAAGAAAGAACGAACGAACGAACAAACAAACAAAAGAACGAAAGAACGAAAGAAAGAAAGAAAATACATTTGCAGCATGCTCCTCCAAATTCTGGAGAATTACATGTGTCTGTTCATCTCTGTGAAGCTGAAAACTGTATAACTATGTAAAGTACTGTAGTTGCAAACCATCTTAAAATACCAAAGAAACTATTAGAACAGTTGAGAAGGATAAATTACAAATGCTTTTTTCTTGGAAACAAAGAAACCAGCAGAAAGGAGGTCTGGCTGTAATTCTCAAAGGAGTGCATTTAATAGTTTGTGAGTCACACAGGAGAGGAGGAAAAGCCCTCTCTCATGCACTCATCAAGCAGGCCTCCTCAAGGAATGGTATTAGCAAGAGGGCTTCTCCTGTACTCCTCATAACTAGGTAGGTTTGTACTGTCAAGCCTTAAAGCCACTTAGGTCTTTATAGATTGCACTTCTTAAATCAAATACTAAAACAGCTGCTAAATCTTGCAAGTTTTCCAGTATGAGAATAATGTGATCTCAGTTCCATGTACCAGTCAGAAGCTAGCTGCCACATTTGCACCAAGTGAGGCTTCCAGACACTCTTCAAGATCTGCCCACATTGCAGTAGCCAAGACGGTTGTATTGTGATTAAGGTATATATAGCTTTTGCCTGAGCTGGCTGGATAGCTCAGTGAGTTAGGTATCTGGCTGCAGAACCAGAGGTTGGGAGTTCAGTTCCCCACTGTGCATCCCAGAAGAGCCGGCTTATGTGGTCTTGAGCAAGCCTCACAGTCCCGTGACACTGTGTCTTCCAGTGATTCACAAATGTTGTGTTTGGTCACAATATAATATCACAAGAATACGCCACTGTATGTATGTATGTATGTATGTATGTATGTATGTATGTATGTATGTATGTATGTATGTATGTATGTATGTATGTATGTATGTATGTATGTATGTATGTATGTATTAAACCCACTCCCTCACTCACTCATTTATGCAATTTATCTGAAATCCAGTAACAGACGCTCTCAAGCAAGTAGGTTCTCTGATAAGAAACTTTTTAATGTGATTGGGAGAAATACAATACTTCTTTGCAGGGAGTTTCTGAAGCCTCTACAGCAGTGTTTCCCAGCCTTGAGAAACCTGGGTGTTCTTGGACTGCAACTCCCAGGAACCCCAGACAGCACAACTGGTGGTGAAGACTTCTGGGAATTGCAGTCCAGGAACACCTGAGTTACCAAAGGTTGAGAAGCACAGCTGTAGAGCTTTGGGCCTAAGGAAGATGGAGAAGGTGGTTGCTTTGCAAGTATTTATATCAGAAGTATACAAAACCTGCTGGCCTTTTTTTTATTTTGGCTTGGTACGGGCACAAAAATCATAACCCTTTTTGGGAAGCATGGTGAGGGTCAACCATCACCACCCCAAGACCCA